GTTGTTGGAGTGTAGACAAACAAATGCACTATTGAATCCAGGCTTCTTAAGAAGTGGTGTCAGGTGTGTGTGTGTGTGGCCGAGATAAATAGTCCTATATCAAAGGAAATGTTTCCCTTGCAATGAAAACAAAAGATGAAGAGGCTCTTAAGCGGTTGAAAGAATCCGTTTATAACACATGCAAAAGGTTTCAGTCATAGTACCATCGTCAGCACAACTTACAAAGCATGTCATTCTGGAGGCTTAAACAGGTTATCAGACAAACAGAGGCCAGTCAGGAGAAAAGTAGTTGTTGGATTTTCCCTGTTATGTTGAATTATGTCTTGGCCACGAGTAAGATAAGACCATCAGAGGCATCGACCCCTATTAAGAAATGTTAGAAAGTTTTTCTCTCTTTTTGCCAAATTAGCTCCTTAACTCTATAAATATGATTTTTAGTTATGACTAAAATGTTCACGTGCTGTTAAGGACACGTTCGTCCCATTTAATTTACTTTACTTTTACTTTGCAAATCAAATCAGATGATTATTATTATCACTAGAAAAAAAACAACTATGTATCAGTATGTGATGTTTGTAGGCTGTAGAAAGTCAGTGTCCTTGTCTGTTAAGTGCTTGTTCACATTTTAAATGAGAGTCGGCTCTCTCTGATACAGTGCTCCAGACTCCACAGGTAGCTGTCTGATGTCTCCTGCTCAACAGGGGTCCTCGTGGGCTCCAGATCACATGGAGCTCCTGGACTTACTTATTAAAGGCTGCCGCTCAAAGAGACTCTGAACCTTACATCTTCCCTATGCGTAGTCCACAACACTCTGTGTGTGTATTTATGCTGTCAGAGCTGTGCCCCTAGCAATAAACAAATCAATAAATAAGCAATTTTTCGAGTGAGTACATTACTGAAACTGAACATCTTTTTTTTAATTCAGTAAAAAAATAAAATAAAAAAAAAAAATTCAAAGTAAGTTATTATGAAGTTATTATAAATTTGATAATATCTGCAGTCACATGATGACTGCCATTTTGAAACTGAAAACACTAATGTCATATTTCAGATTAGTAACTTTAATCATGGTGCCAGGCCCCTCCAGTAAAACCCCCCCCCCCCCCTCCACAGACCAAAAAAACATCTATTTTTATATTTTAATGTAGATAATAATTTAACAAAAAGCCGAACAGACTAATGTTAAAAAAAAATAACAAATTTTGTTGAAAAGAAATACAATGGGTAACTGTTTGCACTTGTCTTTTGTGTAAAGTGGATGTCTGTTAAACACTGTTATCCTGCTGTGAACTGAAATATTGTGGGCTTTAATTGTATTGTAACCACACGTAGACGCCTCGACAGATTTGTTTCCGGAGTGAATCTTGAGTGGCACAGATCTCACACCATATGTACACCGCATTACCATAATTTACCATATTCTGTAGTTGTACATATTGCACCGTCTCATCGCACAGTCACTGCTCCTTAGCTACAGGACTTGTAATGTATAGTACACATTTCATCAGTAACCGGTGACTCTTCAGAGGCAGGTCTTCTGCAGTCATCCCAGATTATGAGTCATCCGCCCAAACCTGATACAGTATGTACATGTGTGTATGTGTGTGTATATGTGCACTGCTGACTTCCTTCCACACACATACATACACAGAGCAGATACAGTATATACATATATATATATATATTTACATCCCTGCATTGCAGCGACAGAGAATTTGTGACCCTGGACTGCTTCACTCAGAGATAAAAGAAAGTCATATCAAATGGCTCTGAAATACATTTGAAGCGATTTGTGGGGAAAAAAAGGAGTGGGGGTGGGGTGGGTGGGGTGGATTTGGGCTGGGGGGGTTTGTGTCCATGCCATTGATGATTCAGTGTCTCTGTAACTAAAAAATAAATTCCCCTCACAGCCAGTGATTAGTTGGGGAACAGTTGGTGAGCGAGGCGCACACAAGCGCTGCATATGGCTGCGATGAAGCCGCATGAGGTTCTGTTAGTAGCTCATCCCAGTAGTTTTTATTTTTTAATTTTTTTCTTCTTCCAGCAGAGTCAGAGGGGAATACTGACATGAGAGGGGATCAAACGGCACATAAAAGCTACATCAATAGTACAGGGCTACAAAATGATAAACAGGGCAGGTTCCTCTGCTGTAAATTCACAGCATGCAGCAGTCGTTGTAAAGGTACAGGTTAAAGTACGGACAGATGAATCCTATTGATGTGAGATTCGACGCGCTATTCAGAGATGAGATGGAGAGATTGATCTGAGAGTGAAAGACAGCATGAGGGGAAGTGGATAAACACTCAGTTTTAGACCGAAAAATACTCCTTTTCTCTCTGTCTCTCTCTTTCTCCCTTTCAACCAGCCTCTCTCGGGTGAGATTACTGTTCCCATGGCAACGCAGCTGATTGCATGAAAATTGCTGTGGTTGTGGGTGCCATGGCAACACATTACATTACATTATACTGGTGTTAAGAGCCTCCCTTGCATCCCTTGTGTTGCGGTTTTGTGTACATTTAGACATGTCGCCCTGTCATGATGACACACACACAGGGGCCGCTACTGGTCACATGGGTCGTCAGGGTGTCAGGACGGCAACAAGTTGGACCTCGCGAGCCTCCGCCCACGCCGCCTTGATCTTTTTGGTTCCCTATTCAAACTGAGATTATACTTAGGAGGCTAATCCCATGTTACACGCGCATTACAGCACTTTTAGTGCGCTAGCCATCCAATGTGCAGCAATAGGCATTTCATGGAGGCTTGAGTCATATTATTGACTTACTCCAAGCATGTAGCCTACTTAGGGGTGTGTGTGTGTGTGTGTGTGTGTGTGTGTGTGTGTGTGTGTGAGAGAGAGAGTGTGAGTGTGAGGTGGGATATAAATATAGTCGAAGACATTACAGATAGAGGTACTCAGTGTTCTAGTAGGAGGTACTTGCAATACAATCTTGGGTTAGTTTCAGGCCCATTGCTCATCTGTTGTCTGCATTTTTTTATTCACTTGTGAATAGATTTATTGTCTTATTTTCACACTGTTGACTTGGTTGGAGATGATGGCGGGTAAAATTTGCTCGGCAACTCTTTTAAAAAGTCTGCACACAGCAACACACACACACACACACACACACACACACACACACACACACACACACACACACACACACACACACACACAGCCCCTCACTCCTTGCATTCAGACAAGATATTTATTTCTCCGGTGGATTGTTTCAGAGGCAGAGCATCTCCATGGTGATGGCAGCCCACAGATCAGGACAAGGAAAAGTGAGGGAAGGAGGCGGCAGATAGAGAGCGAGAGAGCTGATTCCAGCTTATCTGCCACTGTTGTGCACTTGTTGACACACATATAGGCTGATATGTATTCACACAGACGATTAATACACTCTCTACTCCTTCCCTGCTCTTCCACCTTTCACTCCTGGCTTCTTGATGCTCTCCTCTCCCTCTCTGCTCTCTCTTACTCTCACAGTGTCCCTGTACTCTTTTATATTTCTTAGTCTATCAGGTGCCATATATTTTACCAAGTCTCAAACTGAGTCATCGTTATATCGCCATATTTCAGACCAAGCAACCTTTACAACACTGAGTCAGTGAAGACGGAGAAAAGCAGCATTGGAAGCAGTCTCCTTGTTTTTCTGTGCTTCTGCTTTTTCTATTTTCATCTTCATGCTTCATAAATAACATGCATGCATACACACACACGCACACATGTATATATAGTGTATAGTATACATATATATATATATACGCATGAGAGTTCCTCTGACAGGTCGTTCCACAGTCGAGGTGGTTTAAGAGCTTTAGTTCTTTGTTCTAAATATTTGTTCTATATATTTTCTAAATATCCAACGGTGTCCTGCCTTAGGACTTCAGACTTGCAAAACTAGTATCTTCTTATAGGTATAACACAGCCACATAATAAAATACATAGTAGAAAAAATTACAAAATACAAACTAAGGGAGTAATCAAGAATCAACAAAGCAAGTGTGTTCAAAAGGGTAATGTAAAACCTGTGGGTGTCAGATGAATATACATATACCAACACATTTCAGAAAAGGACATCACTAGTACTACACTGCCAAGTGTTTGAACTTAATATTTGACAGCACTGAGTCATCACCAATACCAGCCGGGTACACTTTGTGATTGAGATGTTTTGGTTCGGTATTTCAATGTTCAAGACATTTGAGAATATTCATAAACGAGGGTCTTTTTTTTCATGTATTTCTCCCACGATCCCATCTCACTATTTCAAACTGTGAGTATGCTACACTCATCTCATCCGTTATCAGCTTATACAGCGGTAACAGTGCTGTACTGGTACTCCTGTAATGCTTTGTCGTAGCCCTTAAAGCTGCATTAATCAATACTTTTAAATTCATGTTGAAGAAAGTGATGTTGTGTGATGTTAAAGGTGTCGCTATGATGAAATATCACCTGACTCTGCAGTTCTGCTCAGCTCTACAGTGTTTTAGCATCTTTCAGCTCATTGTTTTGGTTGAAGGCCTGCAACTTTACTGTTTGTGCTCACTCTCACTTACAGAACAGTCTTTTTGTTTCATTATATATTGTTTCATCATTATATAGCAGGCAGACAGTTGGCGACTAGCTGGTGAAAATAGTGAAGCATTTAGCAGCTACAGAGGCCAGATATTTCCTTTGGGAGTTAATAGAGAGCACAGTAGTTGGTAGAGAAGGGGCTTAGGGCTAAAAGACAGTCACTGGATGTCCAGTAAGATGGCTCTAAATGAATGTTAATGTGTCTCTGTGTCTGCTTGTATTCACAGCTTGTTGTACTGCCCCCAAGTGGCCTAAAAATCAATTAATGCAATTTTAAGTTTCTTAAAGGGGCTTTTATTTATTTATATCCATTATCCATCTTTTAGCCTGAATCACGAGTAAGTGTAAATGCTGCGCATTTTGTTTTCAGACCAATAGACATATTGATAGTTGTAACTCAAACTTGATTTGTCATTCTCAGGTACATCATGAATGTCACATTTGAAGGCCGAAACCTGTCATTCAGCGAAGAGGGTCACCAGATGTTCCCCAAGCTGGTCATCATTCTTCTAGACAAGGATAGACAATGGGACAGGGTAAATATCTTCTCTCGTCTTCTCCTCTCTTCTTCTTCTTCTCTTCTATTATGATCCCCTCAATCGATCCTCTGCTTTTTACCTGGTTTGTGTTTTTTTCGCCCTCTGTGATGTGTCTGTCACTCACTTTTTCGTTTGGAGTGTCTCCCTGCCACTTGAGGTGCCTGTTACAGTAGCCTGTGTAACTCACAGCCCTCTTCCCACTCACGCATGCAGGTTGGCAAGTGGGAGAGAGGCTCTTTGACGATGAGGTACCATGTGTGGCCTCGCTTTGAGCTGTACTCTGCAGCGGAGGAGCGAGAGGACCACCTGTCCATCGTGACTCTGGAGGAGGCGCCGTTTGTCATTGTGGAGGACGTAGACCCGCTCAGTGGGACCTGCATGAGGAACACGGTGCCGTGTCGCAAACAGCTCAAACTCAGGTGAGGATTTAAAGTTGGATTTGGTCAAATCTGATTATTTTTTTTGTTTAATATATATATATATTGCATTTGTTTATACTGTTTGAATCTAGGATGAATATTGTAGAGTCAAGTAAAATAGAACACTTTCTCAAGAACATATTGATTTATACATCGATACTGGTGTAGCATGTAACCTTCTGCTCGTATCCAAAGTCATTTGTGACACCTTAATAGTTATATAAGTTAGGTATAAAAACCCATCAAACATCTGCATTTGTGGTGGATGCAAACAAAGGACACAGAGACATGGATCAATGGATGGTTTGGCTTCGGTTTTGTTCAGTATTTCCCGATCACCACAGCGTGCTGTAATGATTCTGATTCCTGTGTTTTCTTCACTGGATTTTGAAAATATAACCTATTTGGTCCTCTCACAATCTCTCAGTGTCCTGTGATTACCTTGACTCTACTCTGCTAACTAGATCATTGTCTTGGTTTCTGTCACTGTTGTCCTCTCTCCCCTGCCTCTTCACCCTGACCCTCTTGCTATCCACTTCTCCTTGGTGTGTGATAATGAATTTTCGTCATTGGCCTCCTTTTCTATCACTGGCCTACCTGAAATCTCCTGAGGGCGTCCTACATCTTCTGGCTCAGTGGTTTTTTTATTGACTGATCTTTCACCCTGTTCGTTCTCCTATTCCCCTTTTTCCCTCCTTCTGTCCGTCTGTCTGTCTCTTCCTTCAAAGACATCCTCACAGACAGCTTTTCAGGGAAAGGCAGCAATATGCCACAGAGGATATGCAGGATTTCTCTGCAGCCAAAAAGTACTCCATGAGCCAGATGCACGGAGCTGTGCAGATTTGTCCTTGTATGCACGAAAGCAGAAATATGTGGACACAGCCTTTGTGCCAGATAGATAAACCCCTGTGTTCACATTATTCCATGTTCTACAGTGCATTTTATCTCAGTAATCATGAAGGTTGTTCACTTGCAGGAGCTGAATTCATAATCCTGCAATTGTCTATAAATGTAGGTTGACACACCCTTGTGTGAATACAAAACACACTAAAACAAACACATTTGTCCTTGGTCTGGCACTGGCAACATACTCTAACTGTGCCAAAGCTGCCATTGTGTTGTTACCCACAGCTGTTATGCACCTGTATCTGCTGTGAGCCAAAACAACCCACTGATTGATGACTCGCAGTTTGTTAAAATTTGTTACTCGATGTGCATTATTCTTATTCTTAGTCGCCCATTAATGTATAATTGAGGTGACAATATGTAAACCTGTTTACTTGTGCAAGAATAAATTTGTACTCATAGAAATGTCGATGTTAAAGTCTGCGTGGGACTTGATGTGCTGACAAAAGTGTGGCCTTCTCTTTTCCACACTGCAGTATCACTCTACTGTGTGTACACAGAGAGCAAAGCATGCCTGGAAGTATGGGCTGGCTCATTTTATTTATTTAAATATCAGATTTTTACCAAAGTGACAATCACGTAAAAATGTACATTGTAATGACCCAAAGGTGATGTCTTGTTTTGTCTAACCAACTGTCATACATGACAAAGAACAACAGCATATCTGTGTATTTGTTACCAATTAATTGTCTGACTCCAGGTGTTTTCACTGACCAGTTCCTGGTGTCTTGTGTGTTTTAATATGTGCTAATCAGTCTGGTGTAAGAGTTTTTGTTTGGCACGAAAACCTGAATTCTCTCATCACTTAGCACATCTTTGTTCTTGTTTTTTTTATTTCACCCATGTTGCTGTTCTCTTTGCTTTGAATCTGCCAGTTTAGGTATATGTACCTGAACCTAAATAATCTCAGATTGTTGAAGCTCATCTTTACCCCCCCACCCTTCTCCTGCTCTTACCACCTACCAGCAACCAGACAGGGGATTCAGGGATTTACATCAAGCGCTGCTGTAAGGGTTTCTGTATCGACATCCTGAAGAAGATCGCCAAGACGGTCAAGTTTACATACGACCTTTACCTGGTCACCAACGGCAAACACGGCAAGAAGGTTAATGGGACGTGGAATGGCATGGTCGGAGAGGTAAAGAAATCTCTTTCTTTTACACACACAACACAATCACTCCATTTATTGCACCTTTTTCAGGTAAAGTACTGGCTCTGATAGTGGCTGTTTCACTGGTTTGTAGTGGGCAGATGTTTTTTCTGAGATTCATATAAAGTATAGAAAAAGATAGAATATCTATAGGATATGAAATGTGGATGTTGTTGTGATAGACCAAGCCCAACACCATTAAGAACTGGCTTTGCATCAGCTGTAAACTGCTTAAAATACTTATGACAGTTTGTCTGATTTCGTACAAACCTGCTGTCAGATCAGCTGATCACGTATTTCACATCAGGCAGATCACTGGAGACTTTGCCATACAACTGAACCATTAAAGTTTCTTAATCAGGCAGTATACTGAAAATAAAATATTTATATTTTTTGGGTTTCTTTGACATGAATCAAGACCAGTATAGTGCATCATTTAGCTCATCGTTGTAAGTGGTGTGTCAGTGGTGGCATACAGTTTCTCTACCACCAATTAGCTTTTCTTAAGAGCTTAGTGCATTCAGCATGTCTCCCTGAAGACATGCAGCACTATTTATAACGATGCAGTGAAAAAAGTGGTAGTAAAAATAAAAAGCTGGTTCAAGTGGCAGGATCAAATTTAACATCTGTTCATTTGTGGAGTGAGAAGAGATGTTGTCTCAGTATAGCTGAGAATTCGGCTTCCAAACTACATTTGTTTAACGTGGCCTGATGGAAGTCATTTGAAAATTTGTAACACTGGCCAGAAACTTCTGGGAGAAATTGCACCAATTTGAAAACTCTCTTTCTGTGTCAGCGACCTCTGTGGAAGTTAAGTGAAACCGATCACTTAATGTCGGCCAGTTGCAGGCAATATCGAACCACAGCAAATAAGGCTACAGGAATATTAACCAAAGGATTAAACAGTGTGTCTTTGGTCATAATTCCACAGCATGTCCTGTGAGAACATACCAACATTGATTCAATCTGGAGTCTTCTGCTGGCTGAAGAATACAACAAATATATATATATTTTTCATTTATTTTGTCAGCATATACATGTTTGTTCCTTTTTCATTATGTTTTCCTTTGCTGGTCACTTTTGCTGCTTATTCTCCCCACAGTTTTCCTGTTAAGTGGTTTGTGATTTGCGTCTCTTTACAATATGTATACAATGCACAGAATAATTGCTTTTCAAAAGAAATCAATTAAACAATAAAGTAAATACAGTATGTTATCTAATTCAATTGCTACTGCGGCTGAGGAAAGTGTTTTGGCGCCCATAGGAATTCATTTTTACGACAGGGTTAATTGTATTGTCTGAATGTCTCTTTCTTTCTCTTAGTTTCTCTGTCACGCCATCGAGCACTTGTTCCCCACAACCTGGCCTGAGGGGGAGCTGTGATCAGCTCCGTAAAACCTCGGGAGGAGGATGATGAGGCTCCTAATCAGAGCTGGAGAAAGAAAAAGACATCGAGAGAAAGAGAGAGCAAATGAGAGAGAGAAGGAGAGAGAGACAGAGAGAGAGAGGGAGAGCGAGAGAGAGAGAGGGAGAGAGAAAGCAGCCTCAGGGAAGGACCCACTTCTCTCCTGCACACATTACACATTAGACAGCAAAAGGCAGCCTTTACAAATCAATGTGATGTCCAACTTAATTGATTATGACATAGAACGACTTCATTATTATCTTAAGAACACAGATGAGTGAAGATGTGCAGGGTAATGTAAAATTACAGTACCTTAAGTCCACCTACTGTAGACTGTGTTAAAAAATAGAATCCAGAGATATACATCATTATAAAAACAAGACTGCAAATGTGCAGTGCATGCGTGGATGCATTAATCCATGTCCTTAAATGCTTAAGCAAGTAGCTAATGATTTAACTTGAAAGGGGGTAAAACAAGGAAACAGACATAGAAAACAGAATGAGAGAGAGAAAAAAGAGCAGGCTTCTATGAAGAAGTGTGACAAACAGAGAGAAAAAACTGTGCGTAGGATTTCTGCTCACTGTGGCATACATATCCCTTATTAACACAGTCCTTTGTGCTCCATTTTTATTCATGGCCTGGGGCTTCGGAAATTTAGGGCTAAATATACCTGAACACTCTCCCTACGAGGGAGGCCGGAGTGGTAGGGAGTCAAATACTGACCCAGTCGTAATAGTGATCCCCTTCTCATCCTCTTTCTATTCTACCAAAATAGCCTGCTAAACACTTGGCAGAGATGGTGGCTCGATAAAGACACAGCAGCTCAGAATTACTTTTACCATCACGTCCCCTTCACTAATCTGTTTTTCACCACAGTCCTGGGATTATGCAGCGCTGCACGCCCACTGACCCTCCATGTTTCCCTCCTGTCTGTCTCTGTCTGTCTGCGGTTGACCCACAGGTGGTGTTGAAGAATGCCCACATGGCAGTGGGTTCGCTCACCATCAACGAGGAGAGGTCGGAGGTCATCGACTTCTCTGTGCCGTTCATTGAAACAGGGATCAGTGTCATGGTCTCCCGTAGCAACGGAACCGTCTCCCCCTCTGCCTTTCTTGGTGAGGAGATACGCACCTGGTTCTTCTGGCAGATGAACAGCACACAATCGAGAACACTAACATGCACAAAAGCACGCTCACACCATGTAGGAAATGCACAACCACAAACGAGATTCTAACAGGTTTTTCACAAAACAGCTGAAAACACGAAGTGTGGTTACACACAGACATAAAATTTGGCTGGAAACTGCTAAAAAATCTGAGTATTTTTCAGTAGAATCAAACCAAAGAAGAAAAACCCAAATGTACGTATTTGTATGTCAGTATTATCTTGTCACTGTGCAATGGTTGAAAGATTCAGCTACATTTCATTATACTATACAGAATTGCACAATAAAATGCAGTTCTTCTTGACTTTGGAAACATTTACATTTGCAATGATTAGTCGACTAATTCATTAGTTCATTGACAGAAAGGTAACCGGCAACATTTTTGATCAAATATTAAACATTTAAGTAATTTTTTTTAAAGCAAAAATACCAAACACACTCTGGTCCCAGATTCTCTCATGTGAGCATTGGCTGCTTTTCTCTATTTTATATCATGGCAAATTAAATGTTGAAATATTTTTTGGGTTTTGGATTGGGTTGGTCTGACAAATCAAGGAATTTGATGACATCACCAGGGACCCTGAAATACTATTATAATTTATCACAATTTTCTGACTTTATAGACGAAAACAATTGATCGAGAAAATAATCTTCAGATTGTTGGATACTGCATGTAATCATTAGTTGCTGCCCCAAGAAAAATTGTTGACAAATCAATCTCTCTGCAAGGTCTGTTTAGTAGCTATTCTGGAGCTTTCAGTCATACCACACACACACAAATTGACAGTAAAGTTTAATACTGAACTCGCAACATTTCTTCTAGACTGGTAAGTAAACAGCTGTTGATGCCAACATTGGCCATTTAGTGATAGCAAAAACGTACATATAGTTACTTGAAAAAAGTGTTAAGTATCTAATCCTTAAGATTTCGGTCCTGGTTGCTTTGGCTCGATTGTGCTTGTGATTGTTCCGACTTGTTGACTTACTTTCTGAAATTTTTTAAATGGACCCCAAAAAATGCTAAAAATGTCAGCTGTCTTGTTTTGTAAATAAAGAACAGACAAATAAACTGTGTTTAGTGCTTTGGCTTTAGCTTTTAATGTGAAGCCAACAGCAGGAAATGTTGGGTTTGCATCGGCAGTTACTTAATAGAGTGAACGATAAACAGAGGCCATCAATGAAATAAAATCAAAAACTCTAATGCTGGATAACGCTGGGCCTGGCAGAAACACTGAAAACCACCTGTATAGTCACAGTGCTGTTTGTCACTGTGACTATACTGTGTGTGAAAATTGCGAAGCAGAATACAGAGCAAGCGGAGGAAAAAGTGCCCGTTTCAATGAGTACATGTGTCCATTCACACCTACCTACTTTCCTCCTGTAGTTTCTCTCCCGAGAAGTGCTTGTTAGTGTTCACACACGCTCAGATAAAATCCATAAATGTGTAACAAAGAGCACGCAGTACATGACGTCTGAATACAAATAATCATGTTGATACCAGAGGGTAATTTTATAATTTTGTTTAATTTTGTTTAATGAACTTCCTCTCTCTGTATCCCCACAACCCTCCCCTCCCCTTTCCGCTTCCTCCACTCCCTGCTGCACCCTCTCTTCCCACCTACTCCCCCTCCTCTCCCACCCCCTCTCTCACCCCCTCTCTCTGTGTTTTAGAGCCCTTCAGTGCTGATGTCTGGGTGATGATGTTTGTGATGTTGCTGATGGTGTCAGCCGTGGCTGTGTTTGTGTTTGAATACTTCAGCCCGGTGGGTTACAATCGCTGTCTGGCAGACGGACGAGGTGAGAGGACACACATCTGTAAACACACACACACACAAGCACAGATCCAGTCAATCCACTGCTGCAAAAAAGATGACAGTGAGGTACATTTTCAGGCAATCTCGTGTGCTAAAATGAAGACTTAGTTGGCATGTTTTGTTACCTTGAATGCACCATTCAAACGGAGGACTCCATGTGCTAAATTACTTTGACAATCCCTTTTGAATGAGTGCGACTGAGGCGCTGGGACTTTCTACTCGATGTCTTGGAGTACTTATCTACATCTACAGTCACTTAAGCTCTTTTACTAATGAAAAGGATCATTGACGAGAACCAGTGATCTTAAGTCTTTGTAGCATCAAGGGGTGACTTGAAGGTGTGAAGACTCCTCTGTTCTTGCGGTACAATGTCTTTTTTTATTAAATATTACCTCAAACACCTCAAATATTACACCAGTGTTACACCACCACATCTAGGTTGTAAAACGGATGAGTAAGTAGATCTATTACCATACATTGAAAATATGTGTGAGGTTTAACAGTCTCTGACAGTATGGAACCAAACCACCCTGTTAAATCAAATACAGTTCCAGCAGGCTGTTCAAATCAATTTGCCCATCAAAATCAATGGTTTTTTTTCTCTTATGTTTTATACACCCAGCTCTGTTGGACTCTCAGGATTGCATTAGCCTGACACAACGGCAGCCACTCAAGATAAAATCAGAAAAGTGTTATATTGCTGCTTGCAGCCTTTTTATCGTGGACCGGGGGGATAAGAGTAATGATGTTTGGTTTGGAGTTATTTTTCCCACAGCACTGTTTTCTGAATGTCTTCTGTCACAGCAACAGTGTGTGTGGTTTAATCGCTATGTTATGTAAGGCTGTTGTCCTATACTGCTGCTCCAGCTGTAGCATAATTGTAGCCTGCTGTGTGCCCATCTACCCCCCCCCCCCCCCCCCCCCCCCCCCCCTCTCCCCCACTCTCTTTCTCCCCATCTCTGATGCCACACAGCTACAGTAGGTAGCTTGTCATACTGCCATAGAAGTAGGTGGAACAGAGTTAGTCTGTAACAGGGGGTTGTCACGGCGGTGGCTGGAAGAGTGGATGTGGACCGTACAGCACACCCTGCGATCACTGACAAACTAAAGGATGGGAATAAATCTAGTCATTGTTGCTGCCATCCATCAACTCCCTCCCACAACGGCAGTGATGAGTAAATGCATATAGAGTGAAGTAGTGTATATGATCTGTGAAACTGATTTCTTGCATCTTCTTCCTTCTGTCATCTTTCTTTTCACTCCCCCCACCCCCCACCCCCTCGACCTCCTTTCCGTCACTCTGTCTCCCAGAGCCTGGAGGTCCCTCCTTCACCATCGGTAAGGCGGTCTGGCTGCTGTGGGGTCTGGTTTTCAACAACTCTGTCCCCGTGCAGAATCCCAAAGGTACCACCAGTAAGATCATGGTGTCGGTGTGGGCCTTCTTCGCTGTCATCTTCCTGGCCTCCTACACTGCCAACCTGGCTGCCTTCATGATCCAGGAGGAGTATGTCGACCAGGTGTCGGGCCTGTCAGACAAAAAGGTGTGAATTCAGTGCAATGTGAGGGGTTGTGGGGCGGAGGAGCAGGTGTGTGAAAGTACGCAATGTGAGTCTTATTTTGAACGAGTAGATACCTGGGTTTTGAGTTCATGATTTAGGGCTGCAACTAATGACCATTTTCATGACTGATTATTTATTTTATTTTATTTAACCTTTATTCATCCAGGTTAGATGTTATTTTAAAGCAACCTACACCTGTTAAACAAAATAACCAGACCAAATGGAGTCATTATTAAAACAGAAAATCTTTTTTTTTCTCTCTCTCTCTCTCTTTTGATGAATCTATTAATTGTTCAGTTCAGTGGTTCCCAACCTTTTTTTCAAGACCTTCCTCCGAGTAATTACACAAACATAGTTTAATACAGAGAAATTTCCACAGCTCCAAGACAAGCCTACTCCAAATATTTAACAAAATCCCTTCCCTTCTTTCAGCGCTGTCCAACGAGGAAGAGCCACACCAATGGTAATCCGTGTTTATCCTCGAGGTTGATCACTTTCTTTTTTAGACTGTAATCCTTCCTCTGAATGCCAAGTTGTTTTTATCTGGAGCATCAGTAAACTTTTCTTGGACGCTTCCTATATTTTGTCTGCCATAGCTCCGCCATACTCCTAGCTGCTGTAGCCCCCTCTGTCTCCGTCCCTACGGTTTGCTCCTTCTGACACCATGTTCTGTTGTCTGTATGTACACTAAACATATCTGGAGGCTCGACACAAGTACCCACCGTACAGCCGCATGTTGTTTCCTGGACTTTTAATGTGTTCACCGAGCAACACATTACAACATCTGAAGCTTCATACCCACGTATTTCATCTAGGAACCTTCAGGATGTTGTACTGTGTTGCAAGGGAAGCACATAATAAACGTCCAAGAAATAATGCAACTGTCTGTCCAGTGCTTCATTGAACCTCCGGATATTTTAACAATGTACATATGGACAACAGAAAAACCCTCCTCAGCTTGCTGGTTGATGTGTAAAGCATTGCTACTTGTGCGCAGCGTGAGAGAGTCGCCACAGCCAGGAGTTTTAAATCTCTGATATACTATGGAATACAAAGAGATTTACCTGGTGCTGACGGGCTTAACCAGCCTTGTGTGAACTTGTTTGCCAAAAGCTTGAATGTAACGGACGTTCATTTATATTTAAAAGTCTCGCACTCCAGCTTTAACATCCACATATTTGTGTTTAGGAGGAAAACAACACACGTTAAGGATTGCAAATGGCATGGTGCTAATCTTTAGCATATTTGTTGTCAGAATAAGCAATAAACTATCAGCTGCAACAGGAAACCTCTGTCACCACATTTTAGAAACTGGGACCAGAAAATGTTGTTTTTTTGTTAAATGATTAACTTAAATGACTTATTAATTATCAACTTGTCATGGATTGACTAAGCTTTGACTAAGTTGAAACAATTAGTTGATCAGAAGAAAATTAATCAGCTGCTATTTTGATAATTGATTAATAGATTGAAAGTATTGTTTTAAGCACTGATGCCAAAATGCTAAATATTACCCAGTTCCAGCCTCTTCTTACTGATTCTTTGTCTTATGTTTGTAAACTGAATGTCTTTTGGTTTTGTGTTGTTACAGAGACCAGAGGTGTTTGGAAATGATGATGAACATTTGCCACTTCTTTATGTGACAACCATTATGCCTCAGGACCAGAGTTATTTTCCGTTATCTGTCTGTCCGTCCCATTCTCATGAATGCGACATCCCAGGAACACCTTGAGGGGATTTCTTCAAATTTAACACAAATTTTCACTTGGACTCAAGGACGAACTGATTAGAATTTGGTGGTCAAAGGTCAAGGTCACTGTGACCTTACAAAACACGTTTTTTGGCCATAACTCAAAAATGCATACATTAATTGTGACAAGATAAAATGATGAAGCAACGACATTTTATATCCAAAAGGTCCAAGGTCAGATTCACTGCGACATCATTATGTTCTGCAAAAACACTTTTCTGGTCATTATTCAACACTGCAAGTCAGGAGCAGAAGGGGAGAGAGGGGAGATTGTGACCATATTTCACATTTTGTTGGATACTGAATTGGTGACATTGATCTCGGCTGCCCACCTTGAAACTGTGGTGATTGTATAGATCGTCTGCGCTGCTGGGCTGAAAAGTCATCACTACATATATTACAGTATATCAGTCTGGACAGACATGGATGTAAACAGCAACTTGACTTGTTGGAGGCATACAACTGTAAGGCGGTAATTCTAGTTCTGACATGGTACAAACAACCAGTTAATTGAGAAATTATATTGATTAATCAGTAATGAAAATGATCATTCATTGCAGCCCTAGACTACTTTTTTTGCATCTGATCTGCATGGTGGATCATTATTTTGAACTTGATCTGGTGTACAGTACAAGTTTGTCTAAATGTGTTCGACATTCACTTGTGTTTGTCTGTCTATTGAGCTCCTGCTCAGCAGTGCATTGCAGGCTATTTGATGTGGCTCAGTGCCTTTTCCATGCTAATGAGCACTCCTCTGTTATTTTCTCTGTGTGGTTTCTTTTCCGGAAAACCCACCACAGTTCCAGAAGCCGAACGAATTCTCACCGCCGTTCCGGTTCGGCACGGTGCCCAATGGGAGTACAGAGCGCAACATCCGCAACAACTACCGGGACATGCATGCCTACATGACCAGTTTCCACCAGAAGAATGTAGATGAAGCCCTGTACAGTCTGAAGACCGGGTGAGGAAGAGAGATAGAGGGGAGGATGGAGAGACAGATGGGGGCTGTAAGGAAGGAGGGAGTTGAAAGGATCTCAGCAGGGAGAAATGAGACAGTGTTATGGAGCTGTGAGGTCCTGTACTGATGCAATACAGAGAAAAGATGATGAAGGATTAAGGAGAGGGAGACAGAGGAAGAGGGAGCATTCTGGGCAATGTGGGTGGGCAGCCGGTGGAGCTGTGTATCTGCCTGCCTCTGGTGCTCAGAATAGCAGCCTAGACTGTGGTTGATGTGAAAGCTAGCTAATATTCAGTCTCTGTGGCAAAGAGAGCTATCTAATATCTTCCCTACCTCTTAACTCTCTCTCTCTCCCCTGTCTCCCAATGTTTCCTTCAACCTCTGCAGAAGAATTAAGAATAAAAAGCAGTGATGTACCGCTGGTGTTTTGTGAGCGTTTGAGCTGAATGACCACAGAGGCCTGGGGAGCCCTGAGGCTCCGTTTGATGATGGTTTGTCACCAGGCTGGAGCCTGTCGTGTTAATTTATCTATCGACTCACTCAGGACTGATATGGATAGAAAAGAATAGAATACAGGGTGAACGCTCCAAGAAAGGTCAGTTTTAGCTCAGTCGGTAAAACACCCAGATCCTGACACAAACAAAATTCAACACAAGGTCCAACTTACTTGTTGTTTCTGAAGCTTTTGACCACATTTGTGGCTTTCCTTATTGGATGGAGTTGCTCAGTTGTCATGGAGATGGTTTAAGGTTTTACCTCATGACTGAAACTCCAACACCAAAACCATCTCTATGACAACTGAGCAACTCGCGTCTGCTTAGGAAGGCCATGAGATGTAGTTGAAAGCTAATCAACAAGATGTTTTTTTATAGAGTTTTGTGAAACAGTCAATGTCGTTAAAAGTATGGCATTTGCTGTGTGTGAAATAGTGCTGCTGCTCTTTTCCCTTGAAGATTAATGTTTAATTTCACAGAAAATTATTATTTATTCATGATGTCAGCGAAGGTTGTCTTTGTTTCAGGTAAGGCGCCCCATCTTTGCTAGACAATGCCACAGGACACCCAGGAATAGAGTTGAATAGAATGGTATAGTCCAGGATTATATCCAAAATACCTGATGCCCTTTATTTCCTCTCTGAGGAACTCAGACTGTCTGAATTCTAAGTGAAATACCTCAGTGGATGCACACTACCCTTCCCTTAAAAAATTCCCACATTGCACTTTTTTGCCTACTAAACCTTTATTATTTGGACCCATACATTTCTAACAATTTCCTTATAATTTTCCTTGAAAGAGCAATCCAATGCAATTTGTCATAAATCATAGCTAAAGTAGAGAAGGAGTTCAATTGGTACACTTCCAATTAATTAATTCCAATTAAATTATAAGCTAGGGTATCCTCAAGTGTTTTAGTCAATGCACAGCAGGTCCGCTGAACATGCAGAAATGTGCACAGGCAAGCATATAATTCAACGTGACTCCAGAATATAGTTTCCAATAGTAAACGATTGATGAATGAACATTTACTTTGGTTTAAATGGAGCGATTCTTACAGCTCAACGCAACCACCTAAATGAACTAATATAACTGTCTCAGAACGCTTTGTGTAAAATTTGAATGATCATTACCTAGACATTAGTACCAAATCACATCGTACGTACCAGGCAACTTTCCAAGAAAGTCATCGACACTACACCTAAGCGACACAAATTCTGGTGATTCATAAGTATATAGTATATAAATGAATAGGAATAGTGAATGAGTGAATGAGGAAGCGATTCTGAGCACACTCGTACACAGTCACTGTATAATTGGTGGTACCACAGGTTCCATCACACTGTGTGAAACGTTTTCCTTTCGTTGTGCCCTGCAGCAAACTGGACGCCTTCATCTACGACGCTGCAGTGCTGAACTACATGGCGGGCAGAGACGAGGGCTGTAAGCTGGTCACCATCGGGAGCGGCAAGGTGTTCGCCTCCACCGGCTATGGCATCGCCATCCAGAAGGACTCAGGCTGGAAACGAGCTGTGGATCTTGCCATCCTCATGCTGTTTGGAGATGGTAAATTAGATAATGTTGTTAAATGGTGTCCTATTTTATCGTAATATCCTTACAGTGAATATCCCATTGATAGGGCCTAAACAACACACAGAGGAGGTGTAATGTTGTAACAACCATATTACAGGACAACCAGACAGATAAATAGAAATTGCTCTCATAGCCCTAATTTGACTCAGTATAAAGAAAACATAACTTCCCTTCAGTGTCGCATCACTGTTAGATTAATCTATACTCTCATCAGTGTAGGAAAGGTTGGAGTCATTGAGGTGGCTTTAAGAGAGCTGTGACTAAGGAGGCGGTCGCTGCTTGTTATGGTGATAACCCACCAACTTACCGGTGGAGACCTCAGCAGCAAGTGAGGTCTCCTGAGCCAGGCTGTCAGACTGCAGTCCTTAATCGACAGCGAGGGACCAGCAGGCCTGAAAAGAGGCAGCTGCTATAGGTGCGGAAGTGAAAGCTTGAGTGTGGAAGGAGTTGGTAAGTTCGGTCACTCAGGAGATTCTGGCGGCACATTGTAAAGGCTGTTTGGGCAGGGACAGGGAAACATTGACCTTAACTGAAGACAGGTAGAATGAACTCTGTGGACGAGATGAGTGCTGAAATGTTGAAGCCTCTGCATATTGTTAGCCTGCTGTGATTGACATATTTCTGTCACATGGATTTCAGGAGCAGGATCCATGGACTGACAGACTTGGGTAGTGTACTAATAAATTCAACTGGGAAACCTTAAATTTGTTCTTACTTGGTCTATACTGTGGCATCTCATCAAGAGAAGTCTGTCAAATTTGTCAATGATAGGATTTGAGAGTGTTTATTAACTTTCTGGTATGAAACACATGCTCATATTTACAGTCTGGATCAATTTGTTTTCACTTTTGGTCACAAATTACTTTGACATATTAAGTAAGTAAAATCCCCTCCAGGTTTAGATTAGTGTAGAGTTGTGGGATGATCTTTCTGACAGCCAGTAAGCCACCACAGAAGATGCAGACATAAAAGCTGCAAAGCTCAGTCTACGATTTAGGAAAGTGCATAAATATTTTAACCCTTTTACCACATCCACTGGCTGATAAGTGATGTGCAAACAGCGCAGGAGTGGTCACGACCAGCACATTTGTCTTTGTAAAAATGATTACTTTAGCACAGTGACACCAGCTTATCAATTCAACACTGTGGTAGCAGTATCTCTCACCAGGACTACACCAGGACCATATAATATCAGTATTTATGTAAGAGAGAGCTTGGATTCTGGGTCTGTGTCCCATCATTGTACAGCAAGTAGAAAGCAACACTGATGACACTGGCTGTAACAAGGGATATTGTATGCGCCACAGAGCAGGTGTCTCAATTTGCAGGTCGGGTTTTGTTTTGAACTCCAGCTGTTTTTGTGTGTTTTGGTAGTGACCGAGAGAAGCCAGCAGGGAGGCAGGCGTCACTCTGAGAGATTGACGAGTGTAGTAACGCATGAGGGCTTGAGCATCAGGCTGAAGCTTCTTCATGATGAGAGGATTGAGCCAGTTGAGGTGGTTTAGGCACATGGTAAAAATACAAACTTTGCACCTTTTTTCTTTTTTTTTTTTTTAATCAAGGCCTGGCTACAAACTACTGGCAGGAGTCCTTGATGTTTGGGGATGATGCAGTGGAGGGACATTTCTCCTCAGGCTGCAGGAATTTAGTGCACAGTATGTCACAGGTATTTGGGGCACAGTACGTCTGTTAGAGACAAGACTTTACAGCCAGTCATAGTCAAAGGTGGCAAGTCACTTTTACAGTCAGAGGTTACTCAGAACATTTTCTAACGTGTTACGAAACACAACATGACACGTCAGGCTCACGACTCTAATGTGTTTTCTTTAGGTAAATGACATTACAGGAGCCTGCTCATGTATCTATTCTATAGGCTATAAAAGCATACTGTATGTCACATATTGTCAAGACTGAATCACAACCACTTTCACCACACAACCATTACATTCAGTGAACATCTCCACCACTGACAGATGTGTACACTGGACTGTGCTGGACTGCTTGTCGCAATAAGACCTGGTCAAATTGCACTGACTAACCACCAAGATGGATTATTATTATTATTACAAGTGACCAAAAAGAAAACATGCTGGAGCACTGAGCTCTGACACACACGATTGGCCTGTTTTTGTTATTAACATCAACTGCAAAGTGAAACATGACGTGTCATTTTCCATCCTTTAGTTCTTCCACTTTTGCTTGTTTTAAATAATTCTATCCATTTAGCTACAACGCAGCCACGCCTCAGGTAGGTGATGGAAATGTCTTTCTTATGACGTAAACTGCATCTACTAACACTTGACACATATTCCACTGATGTACTCTAGCATTGTATTCCTATAACGCTGTTAGGCTCATGATGGACAGTTGAAAAAAAAGATTTATTCCACGCATTGTTCTTGCTTGTCAAAATCTGGCACCTACATTACCCACAATGCAACAACTCTACTGCCGACAGTTGGGAGTCAGTCGGAAATTTGGGCGTGTTATGCTAGCTAGCCACCAGCCTCAAGCAGAGATGAGGAGCGAGCGACTGTGGTCTGGTAAGCTCACTTCTTTCTAACTTCACACCTCCAGAGTTTCTTCATTTTCAAACTTGTCATATTCAGAGTCAACCAGCGCCGCAGCAAGTGGCATCACATGAGGCAATTTATGAGACTTCATGCAGCTCCTTGTGGAGCCACAAAAGGTTTTATTCTACCTCTTTATTCTTTATTCTCCAACACCTATCAGTACTGTCAGAAGAGGCGGGACCTGGACACATTGGAACCAGTTTTAAATGAGAACCAATCTGCTGGTCACACCCTTGGTTTTGAAGATGTCGAGTGGGATACTTGGGTTCCCTGGGGCTGATCTGAAAACGGGCATCTGTGCTTTTTGCTATTTTCTTTATGTTTTTTATTTATTTATTTATTTATTTATTTATTTTTTATCCAGCAGACATTTTGATGTGTCATGGTATTGAAAAGCACGAGTGTTACTAATGACAACAACAATGGCTCCATGAGACAGGCACTTTCATTTCTGTCCTTTGAAATGCAGCTATCACTAAAAAAAAATATTTTTAAAGGAATAGTTCGGCATTTTAGCAAATACACTTATTGTGTCATTCTCATGTCTTTGCATTAAGACTGGACCTGGTGACTAGAGGCCGTTAGCTTAGCCTAGCATAAAGACTGGAAACTGGGGAATCACTTAGCTTGGCTCCATGCCACACATTATACCTCTTTAGTTTCATCCATACACAGATAGAAGTGTATAAGTGACAAGTTATGGTTTTACATGCTGTAACCTATTCTTAGTTAAAAGGGACTGGACTCTTGTTGTCGCAGTGATGTTGACAGGTGTGGTACCACTGAGCCTGTCCAGAGACCCCACTCTTTCCTTGGCGTGGGCTCAGTGAAAACCCATTCTCTAGCCAGAGACGCCACACAGAAGTGTTGAATTTAAAGATAAGTGTCCGTCTAGAAATAGTTCCAGCACCTAACTCCTCCTAAAACCAAAAATGATCAGTTATACCTTTCTGTTTCTGTATGGTTGGAATGAAAAAGTCATTTCATGTAATTTGCTGGTTTTCATTTTAAACTTTGGACAGAGCCAGACTAGCTGTTGCTCCCTGCTTTCAGTCTTTATGCTAAGCTAAGCTAATCGCCTCCTGGCTCCAGCTCTGAGACATGAGAGTGGTATCAATATTCTCTTTTAACACACAGAAAGTGAGTGAAAGAGCGTATTTCAAAAAATGTTGAAATATTTCTTTTATGAACAAAATAAATGCAAGTAAGACACCTCAGTCTAGATTCCAGATTATATGTTTCTGTCCCTTTAATGGCTTCCTGTTTGGTGCCCATCAACATAATAGCAACTGACAGACAGTCATTGTAAGACTGCCACGCACACTTTGTACTTTCTTTTCTCTCATGAAGCTTCATGTAAGTAGAAAGTCCTGGTGAAAACTAGTTAACATCTGTTGGAGTCACACACACACACTCATCTGCACAAACATCTGCACAAACATCCATACACAAAACAGTGTTATGAAAGCCTTAGGAAAATATGTACCCTCTTGATCTCACATAGACACACACACAAAAAACAGACCATTGGTTCTGATCAAACAAATCTCTCTGGACGTGTCCTCCCCCCTAAGCAACCCCTCCCAGGGATGTGGAACTGAGGGGGACACATGTTAGGGGCGGAAACGCTCATCACATGATCACGTGCACTTCCTCCCTGAGGAATGTCAAGTCCCAGCAGGCTGTTGTTTTATTTCCCACAACAACAAAAAGGTTTAGCCTTGCATAAGCAATCCTTAATGAGGATGATCCTCCGGGGGGGGGGGGTCAAAATAATGCAACATGACATTTGTTGCACATACATTAGACCTGAGCTGTTTTTGGCATCAACTCCCCATCCAAAAAATGTGTCCTCTCTTTTTGTACTCGCACTTACATGGTCAGACACCTACGGGCAAACTCATCCAAGTGTGCAGGACACAAACAGTAACATCAACAAACACATCGATACAGTAACCTGGGTCCATGTGTCTCTCTTTCCTCCAGGTGAGATGGAGGAGTTGGAGGCCCTGTGGCTGACAGGCATCTGCCACAATGAGAAGAACGAGGTGATGAGCAGCCAGCTAGACGTGGACAACATGGCGGGGGTCTTCTACATGCTTGGGGCTGCCATGGTTCTGTCATTCATCACCTTCATCTGTGAACATTTGTTCTACTGGCAACTGCGCTTCTGCTTCATGGGCGTGTGCTCCGGAAAGCCCGGGGTCACCTTCTCCATTAGCAGAGTGAGTGTGTTTGTGTTTTATTTTAGGTCTGACCTTTGTCCTCCTGACAGAAAGATCATAGGAGTGGTTGTTTTAAAACCACTGGCTCTGGTTGAGTTGTATCGAGTCAGTCAGGGGCATATGATGACTCACCTGACTTACCTGTGGCTTTTTTAGCCCAGGCAGTTTTTAAACAAGAAAACACAAGTCACGAGCATCCTGTGTCATGTAAAAAATCCTCAAAACAGTGTCTCAATGGTATATTGACAATTCCCATTTTTATAATATACTTCCAGTCAGTTTTAGTATAGGCACCATGCTTTCCAACTCTGAGTCTTACAATAATGTAATATACAGCAAAACTACATTTTGTCCTACTTTCATTTCTGTTCCTTTATAGTTGCTTATTAGTTCCAAATAACTATTTAACAATGAGGAAATATTTGATGTGGATGATTGTATTTCTGATTGTATTTTGATCATATTTAAGATTTGTGATAGATTCTATATGTGTAGAATTTAGCTGACAAATGTGACGGCTCAGTTAGTAAGTCTGTGTGTAACTGACTGCAGCTATGATCTTACAACAGACTCACAATAAATAGATAATATAGGCAAAATCTGATCAACTGCAACATTTAGGTGGCACTGCTCTCGAAACAAATTAGTTCTTGTCTGTAGTGTTCACAGCTGTTACAAAAACAGCCACACTTGAAGTCTGGGTGTCAAGCCCGTTGTCATAGTGAGGGGGGATACTCCGTAATCGGTTAAATATGAGGATACCAGCTCACGTTTTTTTGACAGTGTTTTTACACTCAGAAAGTGACAGAAGCCCAACACTCTTTACTTTTTCACCTCCACACACTTGGCCAATCGCTGCGTGATGTGAACGTGATTTTTGAATTGGCCATTTTGGAAAGTTGCAACAACTGACAAGCACAGCAGTGGGGTAAGGGGGTTTCAGACGCTGTTTGACCATCCAACGAACACGTCAATAGAAGCGTACTGACAGCTTAACTTCTTACTCAGCTTTTACTAAGTCAAACTATGACAAGAGTCGCCTAAATGTGAATAGTTTACAAAAGCATCGTGGCCAATTAATAACACAGGTAACTTTTTAAGGAACTCTTTACAGCCTCTTTCCACATTAAGGGGACTGGAAAAAAAAAAAACTTTGATGCTCACAAGGAAAAGTGTAAGCACCCGGCTTATCAATATGTTGATTGACAGAGAAATAGACCAACTGGTTGATATGCAAGCCTCACTTAAAATCGCAGACCCTGATTGGGTTTTAAAAAAAAGGCCACTGTCTTTGAGAAAATCCACTGTTTATCAGCTCAGTGCTGCTGAAATAAAAGCTACTTACTATGCTGCACATTCTCAGCTGCTGACCTGAAGGTGTGTTGGTGGATGTCGATGAGCTCGTCTCAGCGTAGTTACGACTCTGCTCAGATGGGTCCCTTAACAAGGTGCCTCAGTGTTATTGATGCAGGCTGTTTGGGTCCTTATAAATAATTGCTTGAGGTGTACTTGATTTGCATAATGTTACCTTTTAAGAGGGGGGTGGGGGGGTTTGTTGTTACATGCAAATTGTCTCAGTTATTATTTCGTGAGAAAAGGCTGAAGGTGTTTCAAATTGTAATGTCATTTGGTTTACACCTGCTCAGACTAACCTGACACAACAAGACATCTGACCTTGAGCACTTCACAAAAAACACACTGAATTTTCATCTTTGTTGAATTGGCAGCAATCTCCCTCTGTCTTTGTAGCTTCTGAAACTGTGATACTTTTTATGTAAAACATAAGCAGTTTTTGTTTTTTGCAGGGTAGCTTCAAGATTCACTCTCAGGTCTAATGTGCTTGATGTTACTTCATCCACTTTTAGTGCAGACACATTTTCAAGAGTGGTTCTATTACTCAAGAGGAGTCGCACAGCCAGATATCTTTTATACACTTCCACTGCCTTGTTTAACACTGAGGTTGCAGTGAGAGAAAGAAAAAATATTAAAGATAGTGAAGCATTCAATAAAATTGTAGTTCATATACAGTATATAGGAGGTGTAAGAATGGACAAGCAATGAGACTATAAAGGGCTAATAAGATACAGAGGAAGGAAAAAGAGATCAGTTAGCAAGAGTAATGATAAAGAATAGAACCAGTTGCAGGACAAAGGCAGAGTAGAAAAGAATAGACACAGCGGCGTGTCAGTAACCTCTGTTCCATTACCTTCCACAGCAGCCATAGTAGCTATAGATGTAGAGAGATAAAGACAATCCCATTGGAGCGGCTGCCGCTCACCTGAGCGCCCGGAAACGGAGATAAAAAAGACACAAAGAGAGAATGGAGGCATGAAAGAAAAGAAGGGTTGAGGATTCAGATTCATGAATGTAGCTCTGTGACGGGGAAAGTGACTAAGAGAGACAGAAACTGTTTCTGACAAGTTGACGCCTTTGAGGAACGTTGGCCTGCGCGCTGCCTGGTGGGTAGTGTGTCCTCGACCTTTCGGATTTGGCTGTCGCCTCGACCACAGATTCCCTCAGCCCTCATTTGAACACGCTTGTTTGACTTCACTGGCAATGGCTTTCCCCTTGCTGGAAGATCCTGCTTTTGCCAACCAACCAAAACAAATACACAAATACTGGTGGATAATCACATTTTAAATAGATTGTTAATGTCCGTGTCTCAGAAAAGTCCAACAAACTTTTACCAAGTGATCCAGTCCCTTGACAATGTTTTTTTTATGAAAGGAAAACAAGCAAAACACTTGTGATGTAGAAAGCCAGTGGCACCAGTGTCAGCTGAATTTAAATGACATTGATTAAACCTATTGATTGGTGGTCAAAACCACGAGTTTACTGCCTCCCTTGTGTTATCAATCAAGGCTTTGATATGCTCATTCCCCTCTCGCTCAGTTCTCTGTGTCTGAGGTGGAGAGCTGAGTAGCAACTGTGAGGGTCCATGCTGTTCCCCTGAGAAAAGTCATTTATGAACTCAGCCCCTATTACTGTTAAATAGTGTGTAAACAAGAGGGTGGTCAGAGAGAACATGACGATGCATTAACCTCTCTCTGCCTCTGTCTGTCTCTGTTTGCCTCTCTCTCTCTCTCTCTCTCTCTCTCTCTCTCTCTCTCTCTCTCTCTCTCTCTCTCTCTCTCTCTCTCTCTCTCTCTCTCTCTCTCTGTCTGTTTATGTGTCTTGTGTCTGGCTCCGTCTCTCTATCTTTAAATCCGTTCTGGTTCTTGACTCCTTACTACTGCCACGAGTTTTACTGTTGTTTCTCTCTCAGCGGTGTTCATGTGTGATGCGCTGATAATGTTGAAGCTCTCTCATTCAATTGGTTAGCCTGCTGCTGATGTTGACGATTTCTTGTCACATGATTTCAGTGAGCTAGAATCCATGGACTGACAGACTTGGATATAGTTACTCAAGATAAATGTCACTGGGAAAACCTTAAATTTGTTCTTACTTGGTCTATACTGTACTCTCATCTCAATTCCAAAGAGAGTCTGTCAAAATTTGGTCAATGATAGGATTTGAGATGTTTATTAATTTCTGGTATGAAGACACATCTCTCATATTTACAGAGTCGGACAATTTGTTTTCAACTTTGGTCACAAATTTAACTTTGACATATTAAGTAAGTAAAATCCCCCTCCAGGTTTAGATTAAGTGTAGATTGGTCTGGGATAGATCTTTCTACACAGTAAGCACCGACAGGAAGATTGCAACATAAAAGCCTGGCAAAGCCTCAGTCTACATTTAGACAGTGGATAAAATATGTTAACCCGTTTTTACCACATCCCACTGGCTATGAGTTGATGTGCAAACAGTCGCAGAGTGTTCACGACCACACAGTTCGAATCTTTGTAAAAAATGAACTGTTAGCGACAGTGACACCAGCTTAATTCAATTCCAACACTGTGGTAGCAGTATCTCATCACCCAGGACGTACCACAGGACCATTAATAATATGCAGTTATTTATGTAAGAGAGAAGCTTTGGATTCTGGGGTCGGGCCATCATTCGTACAGCAAGTAGAAAGCAACAGCTGGACAGCTGGCTTAAAGGATATTTATGCCCCGACAGAGCAGGTGTCGTCAATTTCAGGATCGGGTTTTGCTTATTAACTCCAGCTGTTTTGGTGTTTCTTGGTAGTGACCGAGAGAAAGAGCCAGCAGGGAGGCAGGCGTCACTCTGAAGAATTGACGAGTGTAGTGAACGCCATGAGGGCTTGAGGCATCCTAGTTGAAGCTTTCGTTCATGTTGAGCGGATTGAGCCAGTTGATGTCGATTTAGCACATGGTTAAAAAATACAAAACTTTGCACCTTTTTTTCTTTTTTTTTTTTTTAATCAGGCACTGGGCTACAAACTCCGACTGGCAGGAGTCCATCTGATGTTTGGGATGTATGCAGTGGGAGGACATTCTCCTCAGGCTGCAGAACTTTTAGTGCACAGTATGGTCACAGTATTTGGGCCACAGGTACGTCTTTAGAGACAAGACTTTACACCAGTCAAGTCAAAGGTGCAAGATCACTTTCACAGTCCAGAGAGTTACTCCAGACATTTTCTAACGTGTTACGAAACACAAACATGACCACCGTCAGGCTCACGACTCTATATTGTTTTCTTTAGGTAAAATTAAAAGACTTACAGGAGCCTGCCTCATGGTATCTATTCTATAGGTATAAAAGCATACTGTATGTCACATTTTTGTCAAGACTGAATCAACAACCACTCACCCACACACCATTACATTCAGTGAACATCTCCACCACTAAATGTGTACACATGGACTGTGCTGCGACTTGTCTGTCGCCAATAAGACCTGGTCAAAATTGCACTGACAACCACCAGATGGCATTTAATTATTATTATTCACAAGTGACACACAAAGAAACATGCTGGAGCACTACTCTTGACACACACGATTGGCCTTTTTTGTATTAACATCAACTGCCAAAGTGAAACATTGAACGTTCATTTTCCATCCTCTTTAGTTATCTATCCACTTTTGCTTGTT